TCTTTATGACAGTTCATTTATCGTTATTATTAAAAGAGAAGAAATTTGTCCATAGTCAAAGACCTTCATTTCTGTGCCATTTAAAATTGGCATTCTAAACTTAAGATTTTTTTTTATGTCAAGTCCTATCAATGTTGTATCATTACCTACATCAATAGTCATAGTTATCTCTTTTCCATATATTTAGATATTTTCTTCTTCTTCTTCTTTCTTATCTCCACTCAATCATATTAGGTTATCAAGCTATGACAACCATCATGACTGGGTGAAGTAGAATGCGTCTGTCTTTGTCATTAAGACTGGAGCACTACTCAGTGGCAGGCCGACTTAGCTCCGAAAGAAATGGCCGCCTCTGACATGAGGAACAGACGCCATGTGCAGCGGCTCCTAATGGAATAGAAACGCTGCTCATCCTGTATCCCTGGATTAGGAGCCCTTACAGGGTACTATCAGTCGGGCCAGCTGAGCCCAGGTTTTTTAGCAAGCTTGTTACTGCTTCCCCTCCTCCTTTTTCATCCGGGCTTGGGACTGGCAAAGTCAGAGTTATATATTTTCTTTATTATCAGAACCAAAGGGGATCGGTAGAAGGATGGTCTAAACCATTGGTTTTCGACCACTACAACCCGGGATCGAATCCCGCATTGGGCACTTTTTTTCTTCTGATAAAAAAAAAAATGCTCCAATGGCCCTCGATTTTTGCAAAAGTCCAACCCCACCAACGTGTGCAAGTAAATAAAGGGGGTTCTGGCAGATTTGTAAGTACAGAAGTTGAACTGCTTTTCACATGTGTAGACATGTGGTGCACTTACAGTAAAAGCAGTCGCCAACTTCTACCCACCATGATTATCATGGCCTGTACCACGTGTACTAGGGATAATTAAAAAAAATCATCTGAGTTTCATTATTTTCTGAAATTTTTATATATTTCTTTTCTTTCCTTCAATATATATTTTTAAAATTATTTCTACACATATTCTATTAGATTAAACATCCTGTTACAAAATGTGAATTTCATATTTCTAGCTTCACTTCACATCTATGGCATTCTTTCAAATTAAGTGAACTTACCTTGAAAGTATTTCTTTATTGATGGTTTAACTTATGATCTTTTGGTCCTTTCACAGTTGAGTCTTTAGCTGTTTGTCAATTCTTTTTATAAATAAAAGACAATTCTCTGATAGAAGAGTTTCTTTTTATATTATAAACTGCTGGCCACCGTAAATGCAACACCCTAAAAGAAGCATGCAAATAACATGAAATTTACAATATGCATTAGTGGAGGTGAGATATGCAAATGATTAGAATTTCAGCGCAGACGTACATTACGTGCGCCTGTGGCTCCACTTCAAAGCACTATTTAAGACTTGGAGATTTCGACGATTTCAAGTTCGGCAATTGTGTTAAAAAAAAACGATCAATTATGCCTCGTAGAAAACAGCGATCAGCTTTGATCAAGTATCCGAGTTCGACAGAGGAAGGATAGTGGCCTACCGAGATTGTGGATTATCTTTCCGGGAAATCGGTAGTCGTGTTGGACGAAACCAAACAACTGTAATGCGGATATGTGATCGTTGGATGCAGGAAGGTACGACGGACCGACGTGTTCGATCGCATCCAACTCAGTGCAGCACTTCACGTGCTGACAGGGAAATTGTGCGCATGGCAGTGACAGATCGCTCAGTCACATCACGAACCGTAGCACAACACATTCAGTCTGTAACGCATCATCCAGTGTCTGCGCGTACCATTCGACACCGTTTACAGCAGAGTGGTCTGTCCGCAAGACGTCCATTGCTTCATCTACCCTTGACGCAGAACCACAGACGTATCCGCCGCCAATGGTGCGATGAAAGAAGGATGTGGACGGCAGAATAGAATGAAATTGTCTTTAATGACGAGTCACGCTTCTGTCTGTAACACCACGATGGTCGGGTTCGAGTCCGGAGACACCGTGGAGAGAGGATGCTGAAGAGCTGCGTTATGCACCGCCACACTGGTCCTGCACCGGGTATTATGGTATGGGGCGGTATGGGATATCACTCTCGCACTCCTCTAGTACATATTGCCGGTACTTTAAACAGCCAACGCTACATCTCCGAGGTGTTAGAGCCAGTTGTCCTTCCTTACCTTCAGGGCTTGCTCGAAGCTATATTTCAACAGGATAATGCGCGTCCACACGTGGTACGCATTGTCCAAAGGTTCTTCGTCAATCGCCAGATTGAATTGCTTCCCTGGCCGGCTCGCTCTCCGGATCTTTCGCCGATAGAAAACATGTGGTCCATGGTTGCTCAACGATTGACCAAGATTACATCCCCAGCTGCCACACCAGATCAACTTTGGCAACGTGTGGAAGCTGCTTGGTCTGCTGTACCCCAAGAACACATCCAAAGTATCTTTGAATCAATACCGAGGCGTGTGACAGCGGTGATCTCCAACAATGGCGGCTACTCTGGCTACTGATTCTGGCAGGAACCACACTTCGCAGAAGTCTATAAATTTAATCATTTGATACTTGGTCAACATGTTATCTACAAAATATATTTTGTTGTGATATCTCTGGTCTTTCTTGGTGTTGCAATTTGGGTGGCCAGCAGTGTATAACGGCAATACAAACTTAAGGGCTCAACAGCCCCTCAACAGGTATAGATACGTTATTAAGATACCAGTCGAAGGGCTGTTACGCCCGAAAGCTTCTATTGCCATTATATATTTTTTACCGAAGGGATTATAATATTAATAAGTTCTAGATTTATT